ATGTACAGAAAACTTAGAAAAAATCATTAAGAACCATAATGCTAATATCTTAAATAAACACTTATAACAAAACCAAAAAAATTTAGACAATGGAAAAATAAAGATAAAAACTGATGAGGATAAACAAAAATTATGTAACTGTAAAAACCCTCATAATTGCCCTCTGCAAAATAAATGTCGCACTGAATCAGTAGTATACCAATGCAATATCTCTTCGATTGAAAGTCCTGAAAACATAAAAATATATATAGGTTGCACTAGCCATGAATTCAACATCAAACTTCATTTAGAATAAATAAATATAAAAATCAGACATCTCTCTCAAAATACTAAAAGAATCAAATAAAACACCTACAGTAAAATGGAAGTTAATAAGAAAAGCTAGAATACATAGGTCCATGTTCTTTGTGCATACACGAGAAACTATATATTACTAAGTTTATAAAAAATAAAAATTTACTGAATCAGAGAAATGAAATAGTTATTATATGCCGTCATTGTCAAAAATTTCCCTTAAATAATATTTAAAAATTAAAATATTAAAAAAAGGGGGCAATCAGGTAGTATACATACTTATATTTAACATGAAAAATAATTTTATATACTGTAAGTAATTATATTACATTTACTTGTTTTTTCTTTATAAAAAAAAGAAAAAAAAAACGTATATTGGAATAACAGTGAAAATATTTTAAAGTTGTATTTAAAATTGTAGTTAAAACGAATTCTAACCTAAGCATCTTTTAAAAATTGCAGTTAAATAAAATGCATGCTAACCTAAACACCTCTCAAAAAGTACTACCGGCACTTAAATGAATCCAATAAAACACCTACTGAAAAATGAAATTATAACGAAAAGCTAGAGGATGTAGGCCTGTGAACGACCCATGTCCTTTGTACATACATATGAAACTTTATTACTTAGTTTATATATATTTAAAATAAAAAAATTAATTAATTAATAAATGAAGTTTACTAAATCTGAGAAATGAATTAGCTATTTTTGCAGTAAGTGCCATAAATATTACTTAAATAATATTTAAATATAAAAGTTTCAAAATCGTAATATACATATACTTTGATATGGAAAAATAATTTTACTTACTATAAGTAATTTCAAATACATTTCCTTCTGTTATAAAGTAATATAGTCTATTAAAAATAACAATGAAAATATTTTAAAGTTGTAATTAAAATTGTAGTTAAATAAAATGAATTCTAACCTAAACTTCTTTTACTTAGTACTACACGCACTTAAAAGAACCCAATAAAACACCTATAGTAAAATAAAATTAATACGAAATGCCAGAAGATGTAAGCTTATGAATGACCCATGTCCTTTGTACTTACATGAGAAACAATATATTACTAGGTTTATATATATATAAAATAAAAGTTTACTAAATCAGTGAAATTAAGTAACTATTTTTGCCGTCATTGTCATAAATTTTACATAAAAAAAGTACCCTAATATACATACTTATACTTGTTGTAAAAATAATCCTACATAATATAAGGGATTCTAATACATTTAACTGTTCATAAAAAAATATAGTATAATAAAAATTAAAAATGAGAATATTTCAAATCGTAGTTAAATAAAAAGTATTCTAATCTGAACACCCCCGAAAATCTTTAAATTTACAAATAGGAAAAAAAATGCCGTAAGAATTTTTTTGCCGTTAACAATAAATTTAAAAAAAATCCAGACGACATGCATTCAACGGATGTCAGTTTTCATTGAAAAATACATCCCTACCCCTTACCAAAATGTAGCTAATAACCGATACAATGATACAGACATAAGGAAAACCCAGACACCGCTTGTCCAGTTGAAGTAGATTTATCTGTAACCATGGAAACGTGATTTTAGCTGTGTCTTTAAAACCCAGTAATTTTAAAATTTACTCCAAAATTCACTTGAGGATGAAATGGAACTAATGTCTTTAATTTAATTGCAAAATTAAATTCGTGGCTTTTAGCTTCCATTTTTGAAACATAGTTAGAACTGTGTAGCAGAAAAAACATATTTTGAATCAATTAATTTATAATATACATATACATATATATATATACACACACATATGTATATGTATATATATATATATAATTTCTTAAATATTCTTATATATATATATATATATATAAATATAAGAACTTATATCCGAAGATAGATAGATATGTGGCGATAGATGCGTATATCTAATAGTGCGCACCGACACATTGCATTGTCAGGAAGGATATATTAAATATTAATTTCTACACCTACACATGCACCCACACACACGGGGAGCGCACGCGCACACACATACACACACTCACGCACAAACACACACAAACACATGCACACACACACACACACACACACACACACACACACACATATATATATATATATATATATATATATATATATATATATATATATATATATATTAATGTATATTTAAGTCAAAACCTTTCTTTTAAAAATCTTTCGATTAATATAGAAGACAAGGAAGATTAAATAAATTTTTGATTTAGATTTTTCCGTGTCCTTACGTTTTACTATTTGGTGGGAGTCACGGAGTACATATATGTACAATATATATATACATTGTAACCCGGATATAAGAGAGTTGTCGGGACCGGAGAAGAAGTCTCTTATATCCGGGTTTTCTTATATCCGAGTTTCTCTTATATCGGGTTTGGTCTATTTTATATACATTAACACAAGCTCTAATTTGGGACCAGAGAAAAAATCTCTCTTATATCCGGGTTTCTCTTATATCCGGGTCTCTTATATCCGAGTTACACTGTATATATATATATATATATATATATATATATATATATATGCATGCATTATATATAAAGTAGAGCTGGGGCAAATAAAAAGGGACGCTGTAATCTTTGCCTGGATAGTGATTTAGAGATCGTTCGCTTCCTGAAAGTTGCCTTGTCATTTGTTGTCAGAGGGATGGAAGCCACCGACGGAGATTCCAAAGCAGTGACAAAACATATAACGCCTGTTAAATGTCCTAATACCATTAGAGCGCCATCATTTGTACATCAAGTGCAGAGAATTATCGATAAGAACCTTAAAAATTCAATTGGCGTCTTTGCTAAGAAGCTCATTGTTTTAAGGCACTTCATCAGAATAATTGTGGGATGCGGTGCGGAGAGATGAATTTCATGTTTGGTGAGACAAAAGAATCGCCTGATTGGCTAAGTTGAAAAATCAAGAGCCTCGAATGCTTTGGTTTTTCTCTCTGACGAGAAATACTTTGATCCAGAACAATAGGTCAACCGAAGAAAGGACAAATGTTCATGCAGACAAAGTTTCCGACAATTGTGCTGTTTCTGAGAGTCAGGAGCCACGAGAGAGATGTAATGACTCGTCACTTCTTTCCTCGAAGCTTAAGTTTAAATGCTGCTGACTATGAGGTGTTTGAGAGGGGTGTGAGACCTTAGATAGAGGGCGTTAGCAAAGGAAGACCATACACCAACCAACAAGACACTACGCCGTCTCATAAGGTCAAGATGACCCATGAATGGATGAGATACAATCTCCACGATCTATGTCACCCCAAACATATAACCTCCTAGCTGTGCAGATATAAATCCGTTAGACGACTGCGTATGGGGCGTTGATTGTCTTCTCCCTCGACAACGCCCCATACGCAGTCGTCTAACGGATTTATAAAATCACTGAAATCCGCCATAACTAGCATAGTATCCAAAATAAAAACAAATATCAGTCCGTTATGTGCCATGCGTGATACACGCTTGGGCGATCATGTATCTTTCGATATATGTCTGACGAGACAGATTTTTCCCACTTTTTTTTCCCGATTTTTTGCCATTTCTTTCTATGGTAGACTAGTTGCTATTACGGCTATAGAACCCGGTCTGTCCTGCTACTTACCCATAGCTGGGGGTGGGGAGACGAAGAGGATTCATATCTTTTTCCCAAAGGTATTAGCACGTACGTGAATGTAATGGATTCGACTGGAATTCGAACTCGGCTCTCCGATTCCCCTACCCGAGTCTCTATCCTATGGACCCTGAAAACAAAGAAAGTACGAGTAAACAATAAATAAGCGAACCGCACAACCCTTTCTAAAGATATATGGGAGATAAAAACAAAATACACCAATAATATGACAAAACCTCACAATGAAAAATGGAAAATATTCCCAATGCAGATACTGTAATATACGATAGTTCTCTGAAAAAGATCATGGCTGAATATGAAGGAAATGCTAATAAAAATTTTTTTGATCAACAGAACAGTCTTCTTTGAACAGTAAGATGCATTTTTCAAACTATATATACATATATGTGTGTATGATCATATTTTCATAGATATATATATATATTAAGAAATGGACAAGGTCCGACAATTTATTTATTAAAGACATTTTTATGTTTAACGTTGTTATTTATAGATTCAAGTATTTAAGCAAATGCTCTGTTTATGATAAACAGTGCTTATTTAAACTTTACGAAATTTTCATAGAAAATATTCGTTCTTTGACAAATTCGAACCTTTACTGCTTATACGGAACCTTCATTTATGCGGACGTACCTTAACCGTCTCGGCCCAGAGGTAACCTTTCAGCGTAAATGACGGTTCAGAATGGACTGCTTATAAACTTCAAAGAACGAATATTTTCTATGAAAATTTCTCGGATATTCAGGCCGGTAAATGTTATTTAATACTGTTTATCATAAACAGAGCATTTGCTTAAATACTTGTATCTATAAATAACAACGTTAAACATAAAAATGTCTTTAATAAATATATATATATATGGTTCCACAGAAGAGACTTTTGCTTATAGTATCTTGTGCTTTCAATCTTATGCTCTTCTTGTTGAGGAGAATGAGAGAAAGTCTGTACAGAGAGGAAAATGATATTTTTTTTTATATCTGCAAGGAATCAGACGGGAGTAAAAAAAAATCAAAATCTGACTTAAATTTACACGAAAGAGAGGGAGGGAAAGTCATGTGATCGGTTAAAGGATGGGAAGAAGAGGAATGAGAGGCGGAAAGCGGGAAAGAAAAGCGGGAAAGAAAGAGTGAGAGAAAGGTGAAAGAAAGAGTGACCGAAAGGCTAAAAGAAAGGGCAAAGAAAGAGTGAAAGAAAGATGAAAGAAAGAGTGAAAGGAAGAGTGAAAGAAAGAGTGAAAGAAAGATGAAAGAAAGAGTGAAAGGAAGAGTGAAAGAAAGATGTGAAAAAAAGGGCGAAAGAAAGGTGAAAGAAAGGGCAAAGAAAGAGTGTAAGAAAGATGAACGAAAGAGTGAAAGAAAAGTGAAAGAAAGAGCAAAGAAAAAGTGACAGAAAGACGAAAGAAAGAGTGAAAGAAAAGTGAAAGAAAGGGCAAAGAAAGAGTGAAAGAAAGATGAAAGAAAGAGTGAAAGATAGATGAAAGAAAGAGCAAAAGAAAGAGTGAAAGTAAGAGTGAAAGAAAGGTGAAAGAAAGGGCAAAGAAAGATGAAAGAAAGAGCAAAGAAAGAGTGAAAGAAAGATGTGAAAAAAAGGGCGAAAGAAAGGTGAAAGAAAGGGCAAAGAAAGAGTGTAAGAAAGATGAACGAAAGATGAAAGAAAGAGTGAAAGAAAGAGCAAAGAAAAAGTGACAGAAAGATGAAAGAAAGGGTAAAGAAAGAGTGACAGAAAGAAGAAAGAAAGAGTGAAAGAAAGGGCGAAAGAAAGGTGAAAGAAAGAGCAAAGAAAAGGTGAAAAAAAGATAAAAGAAAGGGAAAGGAAAGATGAAAGAAAGAGTGAAAGAAAGGGCGAAAGAAAGGTGAAAGAAAGGGCAAATAAAGAGTGAATGAAAGATGAAAGAATGAGTGAAAGGAAGAGTGAAAGAAACGTGAAAGAAAGGGTGAAAGAAAGAGTGAAAGAAAGGTGGAAGAAAGAGTGAAAGAAAGATGATAGAAAGGGCAAAGAAAGAGTGAAGGAAAGAAGAAAGAAAGAGTGAAAGAAAGGGAGAAAGTAGAGTGAAAAAAAGGTGAAAGAAAGGGCAAAGAAAGAGTGGAAGAAAGATGAAAGAAAGAGTAAAAGAAAGAGGGAAAGAAAGGTGAAAGAAAGAGTGAAAGAAAGGGCAAAAGAAAGGTGAAAGAAAGGGCAAAGAAAGAGTGAAAGAAAGATCAAAGAAAGAGTGACAGAAAGAAGGAAAGAAAAGACAAAGAAAGAGTGAAAGAAAGATGAAAGAAAGAGTGAAAGATAGATGAAAGAAAGCGTGAAAGAAAGGGCGAAAGAAAGGGCGAATGAAAGAGTGAAAGAAAGATGAAAGGAATGGCAAATAAAGAGGGAAAGAAAGATGAAAGAAAGGGCAAAGAAAGAGTGAATGAAAGTTGTGAAAGAAAGGGCGAAAGAAAGGTGAAAGAAAGGGCAAAGAAAGCGTGAAAGAAAGGTGAAAGGAAGGGCAAAAGAAAAAATGAAAGAAAAATGAAAGAAATCGCGAAAGAAAGATTGAAAGAAAGAGTAAAACAAAGAGTGAAACAAAGGGCAAAAAAGAGTGAAAGAAAATTTGATAAGAAAGGTGGAAGTCTATGGAAAGAAAGAAAGAAAGAAAGAAAATGAAGGGACAGATAAAAGAAAATAAAGAAAGAAAGTAAAAAGTAACAGAGAGAGAAAGCAAGAAACAAAATAAAAAACTAATAAAAGAAATAAAGAAGAGGTAAAAATAAAGAAAATGATGTAAAGAAATGAAAAACAACGAAAGCAAAAGACAAAAAAATGAAAAATAAACTCATAAGTGTAAGAAATGAAATTAAAATGAAATAAAAAAAAACGACAAACAAACAAAACGAAACAGTGAAAAAGAAAAAGAAACAGAAAAAAAATAAACGAAAACAAATGATGAAAAAAAGAAAGAAATAAAAGCAAAAAGAAAGAAACAAAGAAAAACAAACAAACAAAACTAAAAACACATATACAAAATGAATGGGATAAATTAGTTACTTTCATACACCATTTCTTAGTACAGTGTAACCCGGATATAAGAGACCCTGATATAAGAGAAACCCGGATATAAGAGAGATTTTCTCTGGTCCCAAATTAGAGCCCATACTTACCAAAACAAAATAGACCAAACCCGGATATAAGAGAAACCCGGATATAATATATATCTTATATCCGGGTTACACTGTATAATAAATGCAAGTCACGGTTAATGTTATATATTCTTGTCCCTGTGCCAGACAAAGCATTGAGTTTTGTAAATATGTATGTCATACAAGACATTTTTATTCTTTAGACTCAAAGCTTGCCACAAATGGATCTGCTTTACCGAAAAATGTTGCAACAAAAATACCTACACACGCGGTAATGGCCTCATTCTTCAATCCAATCATTTATAGTGATGGTGGGGGGTGCTCTTTAGGTGACACGTCATTCATTGGTGTCTGAGCTAAGTGTTCCTTTTTTTTTCAAACACCAGTGTATTTATTAAATACCTATGGAAATAAAAATGAAACAATGTAGATGATGCTATTATTAGTGTTGTTACGAATAGGTAGGTCTCCATGAATATTTAAATGAGATCTAATTGAGCTATGGTCAGAAAGGTGTAGAGTGAGTCTGCGTGTCAAACATGTTGTAGTGTGGCCTATATAATTATTTACGAATTTTGATCGATCAGGAATGAAATTCCTTAATGGGCATTTAAATTCGTAAATAATATTTGCCCTATTTAATTTTGTTCTAGGAGGTGAATTATTATTTTTAACTTTAGCATCATCTACATGGGAAAAAAAGGCTAAAAATAATAGAAGCCTTATTAATAAAAACAACAAAAAAACAACACTTAATAATGTTAACTTTGAACATGGACATAATATCTTGACCGTGTTTTGAAAAATGAAAACATTTTATAAAACATACATACAACAAACTATTTCTTATTTTAACAGTTAAAATATAATCCTTGAAAATGGATAAATATATAGCCGAAAGCGCTCGGATAAAAAGAACATTCGGACAGTTTTTATATAATTTATCATCGGAAAAGAAAAAAAATATTAGATCGCATGAGAAATTGTATAAAAAACTAAATAAAAGCACCTTGTCTGTCGTATTCAATGAAATGTACACACACACACACACACATATATATATATATATATATATATATATATATATATATATATATATATATATATATATATATATATTGGCTCCTGAAAAATTAATTTCAGTTGAGCTCTCTGGGGATGAGTTGTGGGTTTGTAAACAGTGACTATTATAGCTAATATAGCGAGACTCTTCGCATAAAGTGAATTGAGTCACTGTCGGTCACTGTGTAAGTTTCTAAAAATAAATACGCTAAAATTCACCTTCATGCCTGCCGTGCGCCGACGGCTTAGTGGTAGAATCTCCGACACCAATTCAGTCGGGTTTCGATCCTAGCTAAAGGCAACCGGATGTCTAGCCACACTGATGAGCTGCGAAATAGTCTGTCTGTGGATGACATTATATATATATATATATATGTATATATATGCTTTTGTGTGTGTAAAGAAACTGACCAACAGGCTTTTCGAAAAGAAACTTTACTATTTCATCTTTAGATATCAGCCATGATGTGATTCTTCTTCCCCCCCCATAACCTATATGGTCAGGGGTGCCAACGGGTGCTAAAACATTTTATAGCGGAGCAAGCTTTTCAAAATAACTTCTAACCATTATATCAGATTCTTGGAAATGGGTCGGACTACAAAATGTCCAAAAAAAACCTTCATATGCGTGTATGTAATCTGTATGTAGGTATGTGCGTGTCGCGCACGCGCACACACGCGTGTGTAGGCATAGAAAGACATTTTCGTGTGTGAACACTTTGGTTAAACCAAATACAAGTCAATTTCATAAAGAATTGCGAAACGAATTCTATTTTCTGGAAGTTTAATTCTCCGATGATTGGATTCCGCGTATCACGGCACCGTCGTTCTGTGGTTTTTGGAAAGTAATTAATTTAAAATTAGATCTCACGAACAAAGAACAATTTTCGCATAGGTTATCATTAATCCTAAAGATTCATTAAAATTAGGCCAATGTAATCTTAACGAACCAGGCAAACACCAAGACTCCCACCTCTCTTTTTCAAATCTTTTGAAATCAATAAAAAGAATATTAAACAAGTGTTATGTAGATAAAAAAAGAGCCATTTCACATAGCGAATTATTTTTATATAAATTCAAAAGATAAGACACGACATATGCGACTAGATTTCAAAAGTAATACACTTTCCCATTCTTTTCAAAAGAAATAAAAGCCGAAATGAATTTTAATGATAAAATACAAAAGATGTGTTTATATCAATAAGGAAAGGTTTCAAATACCAATCAAACATCAAAGATATAAAAATTATTAATGAATCTTTTAGCTTTAAATTGAAAGATGTCTTTTAATCAACGATATTAGATTCTTAACAAAGCCTCAAATGCTTTGTGTCAACTGAAATGCATTTTGGGGGTGTAGCAATAGGGCAATAAAATATTTTGCATACGACGATTCTTTTCTTGTATTTTTTATTTTTATTTTTATCTTTCCCTCCCCAATTTATTATATCGTACTGAATACCAAATATCATCTTTTGAAATAAGTTTAAAGAAACTTATAGATTAAATTTCGCTTGACAAAGAAATTTTTATATTATCTGAATTTAAATTTAAAAAAATACAAGAAAAAGACAAAAGTATGAATCGAAAGAAAACCCATTTCTGCATTCATTAAACCTGATGCGGAAATCATCGCTTTCGTGCAGTTATTTAAATATTAATCAACATCCTTTTTTGTTGGGGTAATTATTGGTGTTTTTTTTAAACGAATAACAAACATTATATTGTCCTGGGTAAGACGATAAACTACATCCGCGTCCTGGGTAAGACGATAAACTACATCTGCGTCCTGGGTAAGACGATAAACTGATCAGGAGGTGTTTTTAAGGAGCGTGGAACCACCTCTTTATTGCTAGTGTTCCCAGGTCCACCCTGATCCGGGATAGTAGCACCTTTTTCGGGTCCCAGCTATGGGTAAATAGTTAACCCCAAACTGAGGTCAAAACACTATGAAAGTGTGAAAATAGGTTTTAATACCAGAAATACTTTGTAAAAATTATTACCAGCAATAAATCTTTGAAGAAAAATTATTACCAGAATACATTATTACCAGCAGTACAATTTTGAAAAAGAAAAAAATACCAGCTATACATTTAAAAACAAAATACCCGCAATAGGTCTTTGAAAAAAAAATATTACCAGCAATAAAAAATCTTGTTGGTTATTAGGCATTGAGGTTGATATGCCGTAAAACAAACCAAACCAAACATTGTATGGAAAATCGATTCATAGTAGTAAAAAAAAAACAGTTTGGCTTGGTTTGTTTGTTTAACGGCATATCAGCATCTTATGGGTCATTTAATGTGGAAATTTTATTTTCTTGCGAGCTTTGGTATTTTTTTTTTTTTTTCAAAAATGTATTGCTAGTAATTTTTTCACAATAACGTACGGCTGGTAAATTTTTATTTATTTTTTTTTTTTTTTACTATAAAAATATATTGCTAGTAATTTTTTCTAGTGTATTTTTAGATCTGTCTATATACTCCGAGATGAGGCATTATGATTATTCACATTATTCGAACTGTTATCCTCATCTTATTGCCATGTTTCGACCGTTGTACGCTCCGGCCTTCTTCAGGTGATTGGAATTTCGATCGAACCCTTTATTTCGTCCGCAATCTACCCCAGTGGACGAAATGAAGGGTTCGGTTCGAAATTCCAATTACCCGAGAAGGCCAGAGCTTACTTCGGCCGAGACATTGTGATTATGGCAATGAAGCTGGGGATAACAGTCCGAATAATGTAAATAATATATTTTTATATTTTCATGTTTTGACTCCAGTTTTAGGTGTTCACTATTTGCCCATAGCTGGGACCCTAACAGGTGCTATCACCTTGGGTCAGGATAGACCAGTGAACAACAGCAATTAAGATCACCAGAAGAAGACCGGAAAATACAACGGCCGAAACGTTGTGAATATGGCAATGAAGATGAGGATAACAGTCCGAATAAAGTAAATAATGCAAGTAATCATACCTCATCTAAGCGATCCAATCACCAGAAGAAGGCCGGAGATTACAACGACCGAAACGTTGTGAATATGACAATGAAGATGAGGATAACAGTCCGAATAAAGTAAATAATGCAAGTAATCATAATACCTCATCTCAGAGATTCAATCATCAGAAGACGGCCGGAGATTACAACGGCCGAAACGTTGTGAATATGGCAATGAAGATGAGGATAACAGTCCGAATAATGTAAATAATGCAAGTAATCATAATACCTCATCTCAATGATCCAATCACCAGAAGAAGGCCGGAGATTACAACGGCCGAAACGTTGTGAATATGGCAATGAAGATGAGGATAACAGTCCGAATAATGTAAATAATGCAAGTAATCATAATACCTCATCTCAGAGATCCAATCACCAGAAGAAGGCCGGAGATTACAAAGGCCGAAACGTTGTGAATATGGCAATGAAGATGAGGATAACAGTCCGAATAATGTAAATAATGCAAGTAATCATAATACCTCATCTCAGAGATCCAATCACCAGAAGAAGGCCGGAGATTACAAAGGCCGAAACGTTGTGAATATGGCAATGAAGATGAGGATAACAGTCCGAATAATGTAAATAATGTAAATTAAACGATTAAATCAGACGTCAAAATAAATTTTGTTGGCAGTTTCAACATGTTTCATTAAAGTTATTGCATTAATTATAAAAACTGCAGTTGGAAGTTATTATGCAAAAACCAGTAAATCACTTTACTGAGAGGAATTCGCCTGGGAGATTTCTTGAGATATCCCAATTTTCGAAATATTCTACACCTTTTGTCCTTCTCGGCTCGCTCAATTC